TTGGACTTAGTGGAGCTACTTAAGCCCTTACTGGCTGTCAGAGACTGAGCAATTGTTGAGACTTTTGGAGCATCCCGTTCCTCATGTAATCATTTGGAGCATCCCGTTCCTCATGTAATCATTTGGCTGTTGTCTTCATCCTGTGTATGCCTACGCGTATCTGTCCATGTGGGTGGCTATGACAAAATATCATTGACAGAGATGTAGCCCGAATAATAAAAACCCAGAGGCAGATACTGGGATTCAAACTGAAAGATCAGATAAATAAAGCAGTCAAGCCACTAGAGATTTCTTACCTCTACCAAAACTCAGACAAACCAAGGGCCGATCCTGTCCCCAACACGACTGTAGACCACAAAGATCTCCACCAAACCTCAGACTGCAGACCAAGACCCAGAGCTCCTGACTCCTCCCATTTTATATTCCTCTCTAGTGCTGGAATTAAAGATGTGTGCCACCACTGCTTGGCCTGGATGACTGACTAGTGTGGTTGCTGGGATTAAGGGTGTGCCACCACTGCCTGGCCTGTATGACTGACTAGTGTGACTGCTTTGCACACTGATCTTCAGGCAAGCTTTGTTTATTAAAACACAAATAAAATGTCACTATACAGAGTGATTCCTAACCAACAGAAATGTATTTTGTATGGTTGTAGAGGTCAAGAAGTCAGTATTAATGCAGAAATAATTTCTACTGTAGGCCTTCTTTCTGGTTCAGAGACTACTTATTTTTTTTTCTCCCTGTATTCTCATGTGGTGGGAAAAAAAAGGACCTTTATTCATCCTGTTCATAAAGAATCTTGTCTAATGACCTAATCATATCCCAGGCTCCCCACTTGGAAGTTCGCATTTTAACACATTATAATGGAACATCATGGGTTCAGGTCTTAGCGAGTGCAAAGTGCATAAGGAAAACCAGGACGTAACTGAGTGGAGAACGGTTTATTATTCCAGCAACAAGTACAAGAGCACTGGAGATAACGATCAAAGTGGCGTCTTTGGAAGCAAACCAAGCAAGAAGATTGCCTGGAGTGTCACAAGTAACCAAAGCGTGCAGGGCACCAAGACAGGAGTTTTGCTAGTTCAAGTTCAGCATGGGCTGCATAGCTAGACTTTGTCTCAAAGGAGTTTGAAAAATCCAAGTAGCATTTGTTGGAGAAGTTTATCCATATTCATACAGGCCTGCAGGAGAGATTTGTTGTCACAGGTAGGGGTGGGAACACCCTTTTGCATGCTCTGTTTGTGCTACCTACAGGGCACATTTTAGAGAAAGGTGATGAAAGTGTCTCTCCTAGGGGTTGGCTTTAATGTTGAACTACACAAAGTTACTCCAGGCAACCAGGAGGGAAGGGGCAGGTCAGTCCAGCCATTTTGGCTGGTTCTGGGCAAGTTTCTCTGATGAGCCTTATTAGCAACAGAAAGCAACTTTAGAGACTGTTTTGTCATTAGAGGAGAAGTAGCTTTTAATCTTACAAACATAGGTGATTGTCCTTGACAACACTTCCCTAGTGGATAACAATTGAATGTTGAAAGCTGCACTTATTCATTCCACAGCAAGGTACACTTTCCAAGGACTGTGGGGTCACCATAGCTGAAAGGGAACCAATTTCCAAATTCTCGAATTCCTTTAGAGGTGACTTCACACACAAAGAACACTGGTCCAGTTCAGCTTCTCTACCATCCCCCTCTTTCTCAGTCCTTCTAAAGGAAAGGATGGCCTTCAAAGGCCAGGAATTGTTTTTGTTTGTTTTGTTTTTCGAGACAGGGTTTCTCTGTGTAACAGTCCTGGCTCTCCTGGAACTAGCTCTGTAGACCAGGCTGGCCTCGAACTCACAGAGATCCACTTGCCTCTGCTTCCCAAGAGCTGGGATCAAAGGCATGTGCCAACATGCTGGGCTAAAGGTCAGAAGTTTTACAAATTGCCATGTGCAAAAGTGTTAGGGTTAAACAGACTAATCAATATTCCAGATACTGAAGTTAAAAACATTGAAGCTGAGAAATCTTTGTGTTGTTTTGTCTTTCTTTTCAGAGGACTCTTGTTTAACTCTAGGTCCTGTAGCCTATACCTTCCCCATCCTTCTGATATGATTTACATGTCCGGTCATTTTGTTTAGTAATAATAATAGAATATATTTTAGAAATTTACAAGCATAATTGCAGTCATAACTCAATTCAAAAGACTTTTATATATGTGAGCCTTATAGCCATCACAAGGAAATAATTTAATTTCTATTTTTGGTCATAGTTTTGTTGGGAAGAAATTCAATATGGTAATCAATAGCAGACTTTTAGGTAAAAATACTTTATGAGAGGACAAAATTCTTTGAGGAATATGTAATTTACAGTGTCAAAGGGAAATCATATGACAGAGCAATGTAACCATTTCCACGGTTAGGTGAGAATTTGTATTTTGTTTTGCTTTGAATATTTGAAGCTCAGTGTCACATATTGTAAGACTTGGATATGACAACTGGCACATACCTGCAATCACAGTACTCAGGAGGCAGAGGCCAGAGAATTTGGAGTTTAAGGCAAACCTGGGCTAAGTGAAATGTGTCTTAGGACAGCATTGGAGGTTAAATCCGATCTCAAACAAATAAGCAAACAAATATAAAATATTTATTTAAAACAAACAAACAAGCATAACAAAAACAATCAAAATGCTTAGTGAATGAATGAATGTCTATCAAAAAGAAACGTGACGATGTGAAAAAAAAATTCCCCCACCCCCGGTTCAATGAACACCTTTTTAATCCCTCCATTTCTTCACTCACAGTGCATTTAAAGTCTGCTTCGGGTATTTTCTCATGAAATGTAGCCTTTACTTTTCTGTCTTTGCTTTGTTTTGCCTTGCTCTACTGGATATCAAACACCATGGTGATATATATATATATATATATATTATATATATATATTTTATATATATATTTATATATATATAAAATTAGGGACACAGAGGCAGAAAGATTGTTATGAGTTTGAGGTCATTTGGGCTATATGGTGAGATTCAGTCTCTTAAAAAAAAATCCAACAAAACAAAACACCTAATAAACCAGGGTCTTGGTCATTTGAGGGGAGGTATTTACAAACCAAGTTCCACCCCTCTGCACTTATTAACCTTTAAAACAATAAGAGTAGTAAATAGGGCTGGGGTGTAGATCAGTTCGTAGGACACTTGCCTAACATTAGCATTGCCCTTGGGCAAGCCAGCTGCTCTTTGATGCCATTTCTACAGCCTTCAGTGGGTATAAGAATGCCAACCACACAGGGGTGTTTTGAAGACTTGTGGCATGTTTTGCTGTCATTGCTTTCATTTTGTTTTTCTTTGAGACAGGGTCTTGCTGTCTCCAGCTCCCTGGCTGGACTAGAGCTCCATATGTAGAGCAGGCTGACTTTGAACTTAAAGATCAACCTCCTTTACTTCTTGAATGCTGGGATTAAAGGGGTTCCCCACCACCTTCTACCACTTGCGAGGCGGCTTATAGGATTATAAACCAATTGATTGGTGTGTCGACGAATGGCCCTCCTGGATATCCATTTCTAAATCCTTAGAACCTGTGAATATGTTATCTGAAATGGCAAAAAGGACTGTGGAAATGTGATTAAACTAAGGATCATGTGATAAATGATGATCCTGCTTTATCCCATGAACTTAATGTAAGGAAAGGAAAAGAGAAGGCAAGAAAGTCACGGTCATAGTAATGCAGGATGAGAAAGGCTCTGGCAACCATTGCTGGCTTTAGGACTGACAGTTTGAGGGCAGCTTTTAGAAACTGTAGAAGGAAAATAAACAAATTCTAACCCAGAGTCCAGAAGAACATAGCCATTCTGACACCTGGACTTTAGTTTAATGATGCTCATTTCTAACTGTTACTCCCATAGCTATAAAATAATACATTTATGTTCATTGAAGCCACCGAGTTGGTGGTAATTTGTTACAGAAGCAGCCAGACATTAATACAGGTAAATCTGCTATTATTACTGTATTTTTAACATTGTATTCTGGCTTTTATTGATGTAATTTAATGTAAACACGGCTGCAGAATCAAATAGATCTTTTTTTGCCCTGGTGCATACTATTTCTCAGGTCTCCTAATTGTAGCTATTCTTAGAGAGTTGTCTTTAAAAGGAGCCCAGGCTTCCCTATACTAGACAATGACTATAAGGCCTTTTGGATAAACTGCAAGACAATTGATAGTAACCCCTTCTTAAGTTCCCCATTAACAGATATTATCAGCCTATGAATTGACTTGTCACAGAAAAGAGTCTCTGAGGCCCTATTCAGGAGAAAGTTCAAATGGCCTTTGTTTCTTTTTCTTTTCCTTTTGTTAACTTTTTATTGATTCTTTGTGGACTTCACATCGTGCATTCTGATGGCACTCAACTACTTGTCCCCTTGCTTCTGTCCTCTGCCTTTGCAACCCCCCCCCAATTTAAAAACTAAACAAAACAAAAACAAAACAACCCCAAGAAACCAAAAAAATCCAAACCACAACCACCATCAAAACCAAACAAACAAACAAAATCTCGGCTTGGAAGCTGTAGTGTGGCTCAGTGTACACAGTATACCCTTTAGTCCAAACGTGTTGACCTCTGTCTCTTCAGCAGAGGGTTCTGGGCCTAACACAGATCCTACAGTAGGCACCGATGAGAATTAGTGTCTGTACTGTATGTTCTAAGAGAAACAGGAGAAGTAGGAAAAGAGTTGGTGGATCAGAGGAATGTTGAAAGAGGACCGAAAAGAAAGGACAGTCCAGGCAAATATTGCAGAGAGACTTCCTCCCATCATCTATCCTTTTGAGTTTTTGCTGCAGTTAGGGAAACTTTGCTCGCACCCTCGGGGGCCGGAGCGGTACACCTGCCCCTCTAGGATCGCTGTCCCTGGGGCGGACGTAGGGAAGCATCTCTGGGAGAGCGGCCACCCTGGAGGGTTCGCGGTGGGAGACCGCAGGGTGGAGTCGTGGGACGTGCAAACGGAAAGACTACATCTCCCAGGCCGCCTCGCTTTCCAGATGGACTCCTAGGGCGCTGACTGCTCCCCAGTTTCCGTAGGGAAGCGCCAGGCTACCACAGCTATTGTGCGTAGCGCTGTTGCCCTCCTCTTCCCGCTGTTGCTGCCCTGTTGTTGGAGGAAAGCTACGTCTCCTTGGCCGCCGGGTTTAACCCTTTAAGCGCCAAACCCGACAGCCCACCGGCTCCCCGAAACGAGTAGGCTGTCTCTGCAGTTGCCGAGCTGTGGGCGACAAGCCCCGAAGACCCCGAGGAAGACAGCTGAAGGGAGCCCGTGCTGTCGGTCGGTCTCGGGCTTGGGGCTCGGCCAGCGTGAAGCAGTGGCATTGGCTTTAAGAAGGGGGAGGGGAGGCGCGGTCCGCCGCTCGGGGAGCCAGGGAAGGAAGCCTTGGCTGGTTGGCTTGGGAGCGCAGAGAGGCGGCCCCCGCACCCGCGCTCTCCCCGCCTCCACCCTGGGCTGCCCAGGACTCAGCGCTGTGCTTCGGGGAGGCGCTGACCAGGGGGCGTGCTGCTCGCTAGGCTGCACCCTGCCGGCGTCAGAAGGCGTTGGTAAGCATTCCTGGTCACCCGCAGCCACCACCGGACTACGCGCTCCTGCTACACACCAGCGGGCGCTCCCAAGAGTTTCATTGGAACAGGTACCTGTTCTCCAAAGGGAGTGGGGTTGAGTCGTCTAAAAGTGGAGCCTGAACGTAAGCCACTAGGTCTATTCTGCTGATTGTGCCACTGATGCTCTCGCTCTTTGTCTCTAACCCCTAGTCCCTCCGCTACCGTAACCATGGGGCATCCCCCGCTGGAGTTCAGCGACTGCTACCTCGACAGCCCCGATTTCCGCGAGAGGCTCAAGTGTTATGAACAGGAGCTGGAGAGGACCAATAAATTCATCAAAGACGTGATCAAGGACGGCAGCGCGCTCATCAGCGCTATGAGAAGTAAGTGGAAGGCTTCCACGAGCTGTTTCTCTGTGTAGGTGGTTCTGGCCTTTAAACCTTTCCATACCACAGGGGGATGGGAGGATCTGCAGTGACTCTCAACCCAGGTCTCTGGGTCTGATGGGTTTCCGAACCTTTGGGTGTGGGGTCAGTAGAAGTGGAAAGTGGTGAAGACAAGCAGAACTTTGGGCCTTTCCCATTAGTGGCCCCGACCACTAATAATAAGACTTAATATGCAGCCGGGACAGGGACCCTCTTATTTTGCAGTTACTCTTACTTACCAGCTCCTTATTGAAAATGAGAGTCTGCCAGCCGGTCAGACATGCCCAGCACCCCTGTCTGGTACAAGGTGACTTCCATGCTGACCAAGGAACTACCCAAGCACCCCCAAAAGAATTGGGAATTAAGGCTAAGAGCTCCGTTATAATGACTTTTGTCCTAGCCTCTAGTTATTACAGAAAATTGTAGGGCATTAAAGAAATTACCCTTCCCAAATCATTTTTTTTAAGGAGAGCACCTTTGCCCTCCCCTGAGATTTTCTTTTTTTATATACTGTTAATGTTATAGTCAGTCCAAGTTCAGGATTTTTCGTTGGCTTCACATACTACAGAATTCTGCTTCTGTGTGGAGCAAAGACCTGCCAAGTTTATGATCCAAGGGGCCCAGATCCCCTGGGTGTAAACTACAAGGGCAGGGTATGGGGCTGCTACATTGAAAAGCTTTGCTTTTTCAGTGGTCACAGCTTCCTCAGCTGTGGGACTGTTTTTTCCTCCTCTGTGTGTAGGCTTTTATTTTTGCTGGTTGTCAGGAGGCTCCGAGAAAAAGAAAGAATAATAAACATCCCCAAAGAAAGTCTAAGGAAGCCTCTGTGTCAAATTATATACCTAGAAGAATGGAGGGTAATGATTACGAAGTGATGATTAGGTATTTTTTCTCTCCTTGGCTGAAAGGTAACTGTGAAAGGTACAGTCATTGTGAAGAGTCCCTCTATGCCTTTATCTTTGTTTTGAGTGGATTTACCCCGACCCCATCCCATGTCAAGGTTGTGTGGACCCTTGTGTCAAGCTGTTATGGCCAAGCAGCAATGGAGAGACTCTTAGAAGCTTTGGTGCCATAAGAACGGCTGCAAGCCAGCATTTCTCTGTAGCAGTTCTGGTTCGTGGGTGTCTGGCCACTCTTGGTCAGAATCTGTGAACTGTTCCTTCGAGTTCTTTAATTGGGTCTGAACATTCAATGCTTTCTTGTCATGTCACTTGGCCAATAGCAAGCTTGTGTTAGCACCTTAATGATGGAACATTTGCAATGCTGAGCCTTGCAGACTTGTAGGCCAGGCTTTTGGGTGTGTCTCCTCTTAATAGAGTTCATTGAGAGGTTGAGGATATGGAGGTTGTGCCACAAAAATAGAAACTTGAGGACTCTGTGAAAGGAAAACGGGACTGTTTGGATTGCAGCTTTCTTCTTATTGCGGACTGCCTGGGGTAGTAGCTACCCTCAAAGGAAGCCCATTATACAAGTGCTAGTCAGGAGGCAGTTTTTAGGACACGTATGGCAAGCTGAAATTGTGCTAAAAATGAACAGCTAAGTCATATCCAAGTGATTAAGCTGTGTAAGAAAAAATATCAGTTCAGTGAAACATTTTGGGGAAAGGGAAAATGTTTGTTTGTTTGTTTGTTTGTTTGTTTCCAGTTCTGGGGACTGCATTCAGATATTTGCATATACTAGCTCCATATGTAGGTCTTGGTTTGGGGGGATAGGGTCTCAAAATGTAGATTGGGCTTGCCTTTAACTGCTAATCTTTCTGCCTTAGTTTCGCAAGTGCTGGTTTATAAGCATGCAAATGTTTTGCAAATTAAGAGGCAATAGTGGGTTTTCTCCTTTCTATTACTTCTGAGACTAAGTGGGAAGATTTAGCAACTATGCAGGCTCAAATCTTTGCTATTTAGGATAGGGGGCTCTTTAATATTTGTGCTGCTTTTCTATTTCAGAGTCAAAATGGGATGGGGAGATATTAAAGCCCCCATGACTAACCCTTGCCTTACTACTTTTCTTTAAGCTCCACAGTTTTTAAATACTTGAGTAGCTAAAGACAAAGATGGAATTGTTTCCTACAGTCTTTATCATAGAAGTCCTTGTTCCCCATGCTCTGCTTTTTCACACTATGACTGCTCAGCCACTTTTTTTCCGGGTAGGTAGGATGGATGCAAAACAGGTGGTGCTCCTCCTAAGTGAAGGAAAGAGGAAAATATCCCACTGAGATTGAATTTTGAAGACCTGGGATACAGTTGTGACTTCCCCATTTTGGGATCTGGCACAAACCATTTCAATTGTGAAATGTAATTCAAAAATCAAGAAAAAAAATCTCTAAGGAGAGAAAAATGTGAAACTATCCCAAATTAAGTTAACACTGGATAAATTTATGGTAAGGTACAACAGGAAATTTATACAATATGAAATTGGTGGTGGGCTGGGCATAAAGTTCAGTATTAGAATGTTTGCCTGCCAAATGCAAGACCCTGTATTCCTTCCATAGTACTAGAATTTAAAAAACCCATTGCCGTAATAATGGTGGTAATTATATCCACCTCACGGGGTAGTTGTGAGTCTCAAGGAAATTAATCCTTTTTTTTTTTGTTTTTTTGAGAGAGGGTTTCCCTATAGCTTTGGGGCCTGTTCTAGAACTCAATTTGTAGACCAAACTGGTCTCGAATTTACAGAGATCCACCTGCCTCTGTCTACCAAGTGCTGCACTTAAAGGCATGCACCACCACTGCCCAGCTCAAGGAATTAATTCTAAAAGGTTTTGTAAATTGGAAATGACTAAAACAGGCACACTGTTGATAGTCTTTCTTTTGGTTGTGAATATATCTATTGATGAATGTATAATTTTCAGTAAAGTTCAGAAAGAAAATACATAAATAGAAGTAGTTGGAAACAGTCTTTTTCCTTGTTATCTTGATGGAAAAGTTCACTCATCTGGGCATAACTCAGTAATTAATTTTGTATTCATGCGCATGGATCCATCTTAGCATCTGGAACCTGGCGATAAAAGGCAGGACCATGATTGACACTTAACTAATTTGTGTATTAAATCAAATGGCTAGCTTTCTTGCAAACCTTGAGACATGACACACTGAGCTGCAAAACTCATTTGTAATTTTCCTTCTAGTTGCTAACCCAGGTGAAACCTGATGTCAGTACTTTATCCCACCGTGTAATTTTTGCCGAGAGCTCTGGATAAACTTTAAGCAACATGTATGTGTGACTGTTAGTGTGTTAAATGTGTTCCTGTTTGAATTCTGTGCTGGTTAGTTGTTTGTTTGTTTGTTGTTGTTGTTGTTTTTCAACTTGACACAGCCAGAGTTGTCTGGGAAGAGGGAAACCCAACTGAGGGATTGCCTCCATCAGATTGTCTGAAGGCAAATCAGTAGGGGGATTTTCTTGATTGTTATGTAGGAGGTCCCAGCAGACTGTGGGCAGTGCCACCTCTAGGCAGTTGGTACTGAGTGGATGATGTAAACAAGCTAGCCAGAAAGCAGCATCATTTCCATTATCCTCTGCTTCAGTTCCTGCTTCCAGGTTCCTGCCGTCAGAGACGGACTGTGACCTGGGAATTATAAGCAGAAATAAACTGCTTCCTCCCCAAGTTGCTCTGGCCAGTGTTTTTATCACAGCAGGAGAAAGCAAGCTGGCACAAATACTTAAGTTTATTTAATTCGATGCTCAGAGGTAATTGATGTTCCAATAGCTGCCTCCTCTGATGGGTGCCTGATCCCCCCACAAATGTGATTTATTTATAATTTTTGGAGCATATGACGATTATAACTTAAGCTAATAGAAAATAAACCACCGTCCCTCTGAAATATAAAGACTGTATTGCCTGCTTTTCTGTGGCCCTTTGTTGACTCTCCTTCTCCCTCTCCTCCTCCCTTGCTCGCTCCTTCCCTCCCTCCTTCTCTTTCTCGCTCCCTCCCTCTGTGCATACATATGTGTGCATGTGTGTTGAGGATAGAGCAAAGGGCCTTATGCATGCTGGACACGCCCTCTCCTACTAATCTATATTCCTGTGCTTCTTCTTTTTAAAAGGACAGTTTTAGTCCTTTTGATGTTAGTGAATATTTGCTGAACACTGAGGCTAGGCATTGTTCAATATAAATCATAAGGCCCATTGCTTATATGGCCCCAGAAACCTGAGACACTTCATGTAGACTATATATAGTTCATGAACTAAATACCATTCATTCAGTAAATTCCTGTGTGCATACTATGTTCTAATCTTTGTTCAGATGACTCTTAGACACACAGAGTGAGTCACAGGTGGATATTGACCCCCAAGAAGTTCCAAGAATAGTTGGGGATATATGTAGAGGAGAAATTACTGCTGTATAAAGTATTAAAGTTGAGAACTTTAGAGTTGGATGGTGGACATGATTGTTTGTGATGTTAGAGAGAGGGAGAGAGCTCATTTCTTGGTGGAAGACAGGGGAAACAAAGGAGGAAATAGAATTAGAGCTTGCCAGAATTAACAGCACTGTGATTTATTTAACTGTTCCCGTATACCAGTTCCCGTATTCCTTAATTAAATTTTTTTAGATGTTATACTTTATGGACAGGCTATGCCACAGGAAATGGCTAGGCGGGAGTGTAGTTTTTGCTGTATTTTAGTAAGAGTCACTGAGAGCTTATCAAGAAAAACAAGTTAGCATTCTTATACAAATGTTTCTGACTGTTTTTGGAGACAGGGTCTCATGTAACTCAGGCTTACTTTGAATTCACTGTGTATCCTGGGCTGGCCTTAACTTCATTATCTTTCTTTGTCACTGTCTCAAGGGGTGTAATTAGAGGGGTGTGCCACCAAACTCGACTATATCTGTGGCATTTAACATTTTTTTTTAAAAGACAGGATCTTGTTCTGTAGCCCAGGCTTGCCTGGAGCATTCTAAGTAGCCCAGGCTGACTTCAAACTTTATAATCTTCCTGCTCCAATTTCCTGAATGCTGGGT